CACACTGCCTCCCAATCCTCCCTTCTCACCAGAATGCCAATGGAATGTTCCAGAACTCTTGATTAGAGATATGGTAAAATTCAAGGTGAAGGATGCCTGAAAAACCAGATGTGAGTGGTTTAAACCCAGTGAAAAGGTGACTGAGCACATGGTCCGAAAAGCCCCTTTGGGCGAGATGAGGGTCATGAGGTAGGTGCTCCTGACTTCCTGAGTACCTTCCACATTTTACAGATGAGAAAAAACAAGGCAACAAAACATTAACTTGCATAAGGATGCACAGCTACAGGGAGGGGTAGATTTACATTCTAGATCATTTGCAGTGCTGTGTGCCATGATTTTCCTCATTGATCAGTACTACAATCACTTCCATTGGCTTTGTTTCCCTTTTGAATATCCAGAAAGTCTGTCAGGTATGTCCTGGTGATCCCTCTCCTGACAGCTGGGCACAGCTAGGGGTACTGTCCAGTTCAGGGGCCGTCACTCCCATTGTCTATACCAGGGAACAGTTGTTTCCACAGGGCTCCCCTCTCTCAGGGCTGTACTCCAGAAAAGCAGCCACAGAAGAGGCGCCTCCAGCTTCTTTGGCTTTCTCATTGGGTAAAGCCCCCAAATTCCCATGAGCATGCTTCTACTGCTGCTGTCAGTTGCCCATCTGCTCCTCCTTCCTAAGCCAAATGCAGAATATGAGGCCCAGGCTTCTTGGTTTCAGAGCACATCCTCTCAGCTTGGGTCCTGGCTGTCCTAGAATTTACATGGGTGTGACATTCCCTTGGGAGCTTGGATTTTCCATGTGGAAACAAAATGTTGAGAGGAGGAGGACTTAACCAAAGGGAATGCCAGGCCACTGTGTATCTCAGCAAGCCTTAACAGGAGGGACATTTGCATAGTGAGTGCCAGAGGGTTACCCTGGGACCCAGAGAGTCCCTGTGTCTGAATCCTAACTTCAACACTTACTGGTTTCTTGCTTTGACCTTTATCAGTCCATTTCTGAATCTGTTGGTGGGGGGGTTGATACTCAATTTTCAGACTCATTGGCAAATGAAGATTAGGTACATAAAATACAACTGACCATCCATAATTAAACACTGGCCTAGAGTGATGACAAATTAGTGTCTTCTTTTCTGTATCACTGCATTGCATTGTACCTTACAGGGGAAACTGAAGCTTCAAATTGTTAGGCTCCATGACAAGGTGACAAAGGTATTCATTGCTGGAAATGGAAGGACACTTTTCACTTGTTGTACACAAGCACACCATGAAGGACATTTTATTTCACCAAACTCAGTGATCCTGAGCAAACACCTTACCTAAGGGGCAACACTGAACATCATCAAAGAAGGCCACAGCAAACCACAGCTCTGACAGAATAATCCATTCGACAAGACATGGTGATATTGTGAAAGTGCAGTCTATGGAAACATGATACCTTGCTTTCATAAGCTCCACTCCAAGCCTCAGTGTTCCCTTTTATAAAATGGACATAGTATCTGCCTCCCTCCCTAAGAGTTAATGGGATGACAGTTAAATAACATCACTGGCTTACCAGGGAGCTTGCCACACAGATGCAATCAGCAAAGATTAAATGGCTTAACCTCATTCCTTTCCTTCTGACTCCAGCAAGGTTAAATGACATCCTTTGTAAGTAGAGTTTCCATTTCTAAGAAAATTCATTTCTCTGCTTTTGGTTGAACTTTGATCTAATTTAATGGTTAATATTTGTATCAGCTATTTTTAACGCATGATAAAGCACCCCAAAATATAGTACTTTAAAGCAACAATTGCCGAGGATTCTGCAGGTTGACAATTTCAGCTGGACTCATGTGAGTGATTCTTTTGCTTTCTCAATAAAGCTTACATATGCATCTGGGACCTGTCAGCTAAGGGGCTCTGCTGGGGCTGAATGGTCCAGGATGGTCTCAGACATATGTTGGGCAATTGGTTCAGTGTCACCTGGGGCAAATGGGATGAATGAGCCATAGGGCTCTCATCATGCAGCTACCCTAGATTGCTGTCATGGGGTTTTAAGAGCCAAAAGAGAGAGAAACCCTAGCGTACAAGCACTTTTCAACTCTATGTTTACTTCATATTTGTTGTTATGCTGGTGGACAGAGACAGTTCCAAGGTCAAGCCCACCAATAAGGAGAGAGGAGACACTGCCCAGCAGGAATGCACTGCACTCATTGCCCTAAATGTCTAGTGCCACAGTGATGCAGAATTACACAGTTTAGAAAAACAATTAAATATGAATAAACCAGACTCTGCAATGCTGAACTTGTAAAAATGATTTTTACTCTTAAAAGTTATTTAGTTTTTTAAATCATGGTCATTCTCACCACATTCCTCTCGGGTGAATGACAAAATTATTTTGTGAAATTCTGGAAAAAAAAAACCTAACCTGGAAATTTCCTTGTTGTATCAAACGAGTAAGTTGTGGAACTCCCTATCCAGAAACATGCTATGACTTTGCCACCAGGAGTCCAGCCTGCATCTCTTTCCACATTCAAATGTTCCTGTTCCTCTCACGGGCCATGGATTTGTCCCCAGCAGAGGCATGTTGCATAAGCAGAGTCTTCTGTGGAAGGGATGGAACAAACTAGAAAATGGCACCTCCGGTGACAAAGGGAGATGGGACCTGCAATGTGCAGCAGACTTGGGTCATGGCTGGGGCCTGGGTGGACTGTACCTGCTCAGACACCAGCCCAATCTGCCAGCTTTGCTGAAGAGCCAGTTGCTTTTCTCAAATCATCTTTCAGAGCCCTGAGCAGAAGTGCTATCATGCACTACGAACTCCTCACCATACTTTTTAGGATCTCTTGGGATTTTACACATTTTGTGGTGGTTGACACTGCCAGTTTGATAGTCATCATTTCTCCTGATGGCATGCATGAAAGCTCCAGATCTTCAAAAGATCAGTGTTTCATTCTTCTATTAAACAACTTCTTTGTAAATTTTTTCCCCTGAGGTGTGTCCTAAGAAAATATTCTTTTTGTCAGGAAATCATGATAACATTGATTTCACCAGTTTGGACTTTATTGTTTATAATCTCATCATACCAGAAAGAACTTACAAAAATATTTAGTATTGTGGACAATAATAGGCATATTTATGTTCATCACGATTGTAATGGAATTTTTCTAGGTGTTTAACATCATGTGTGTAGTTGCGAGTTAGGGTAGCACGGAGGGATTTTATTTTCCAGCTTGTTTTCAATGAACAGGTTTGGTTTCCCTGAAAAACTTTTTGATCATCCATCCATCTTGAACATATCATCAGTAGAAACAGTATTTTTATTGAAGTCACTGTTTTCATTTGATCAGGTTCTTCATGTGTGACCCAGTCCTTTTTGTCACTTCATGCCCTAGATAGTTCAGGCTTTTGTGGTCCCTGGGAAAAGACCATCATCTTCATTAGCAATTCTGGGTACACACGGAATCAAGCAGATGCCTGGAAACTAAATGTTTCATGACTGGTTTCCATTTACTTTTCAGTGTCCATCTTCCCGAGAGGGAAGGGATGATTTCAACAAAAACGTCGGTTTCTATGACCTCCCCGGGACACTTGGCTGATGTCAGCAGCCTGTAAGAGAGAGACAAAGGTCCTTAGTATGCAATACGACAAAGTTAGGGACATCAGACTGCTTCTCTATGAGGCTATTACTCGAAGGAGGGACCAGAGAAACACTGAGAAGAAATACATGGGGAAGGAAGGCTGAAGGCTGCTAACTCTGGCACCTCTGGTGAGGTGCCATTTCTCTTCCAAGTGGACAGGATGAGCAAACAGAGGTGAGAGAGCGCCCAGTGGCTTTGCTGGAGTCACATACCAGACTTTTTCAAGTCAAATTGTAAAACCTGAAGACTGCCATGGAGCGCCATGCACAAGTTTCCCCCAAAGGCTGGCAATGCTTATGAATAAGAAAGACACAGAAGGGTGGGGGTGTGGATTCTTGGGATTTGATACAAGACCACCGGGGGTGGTTCCCTAGTAGTGAGGTGTCTATGACTGAAAGTTGAAAGGTCTGGAACTAGGAGGCGAGAAATGGCCTCGGGAGGAAACTGAGGATCAGCGAGGTTAGAGACGACTTAAATAGGGGTTTAAGAAACGCGTTAAGGGAAGGCTTGTGCCAAGCAAGACGCCTGGCAAGGTGGAGAACCTGTTGAAGAAAGAAAACCGCATGATGTGACTCAGCAAGATGATCTTGCCAAGAATCCCGCTGGTCATCTTGCGGACAGGGGGCTCTTCCCATCAACAGCCAGTGCCTTTCATCTCGGGAGATGAGGCTGAGGACCGAGCGGCCCCGGGGTGTGTAAAGACCCGCGTGTGCTTGGCGCAACGTGGGGGCGGGTGGGTGAGGAGCACCGTCCGGCGGCACCACAGCCACAGCCACGCTGGGCCGAAAGACACACGTGGAACGGTCTCCCGGGCAGGTGCCAATGCGGCGAATCTCGCTGTGTGGGCAGGAGGTTCCCGGCCCCAGAGGTGCGGGGCGCCTGCGCAGTGGGCCTTCGGCGTCGCGCGCTCCGGGAGCCAGGAGACCCCCGCCCCCGCCCCTCGCCCTCCGCCGTGGACGCGCACGCGGACCGGCCCGCGAGCGCGCACGCGAATGCGCCTCACCTCGCTCAACCCCTGCCGGGGGGCGGCTGAGCGACAGAGGGCGGGAGCGGCGCACTGGCGGTGGCGACGCGGTGGGCTGCGTGCGGAGTCGTGGGCTGCCGGGTCCGGGGAGGCGGCGGAAGCGGCGCCTCCAATCAGGCGGCGGGTGGGGACCCTCCGCGCGCCCGGCCGGCGGCTGCCCGCCCCGCGGACTGACTGACGCGCCGGCTCGCCCCCGCCCCCGCGCCCGCCCAGTCTTCCCTCGGCCGCACTCGCTGCTCCCGCGACTCTCTCTGGAGCCCGATCGCTCTCGCTAGCTCTCGCTCTCGCCCTCGCCCGGCCCTTTCTCTGCAGACCGGCTGCTCTGCTGCTCGGCGGCGGCTCCGGCCACTCTGGCGGCGGCCTCCAGGATGAAGTGCAAGCCGAACCAGACGCGGACCTACGACCCGGAGGGCTTCAAGAAGCGGGCTGCATGCCTGTGCTTCCGCAGCGAGCGCGAGGACGAGGTGCTGCTGGTGAGCAGCAGCCGGTACCCGGACCGCTGGATCGTGCCCGGCGGGGGCATGGAGCCCGAGGAGGAGCCCGGCGGCGCGGCGGTGCGAGAGGTGTACGAAGAGGCGGGAGTCAAGGGGAAGTTGGGCCGGCTCCTGGGCGTTTTCGAACAGAACCAAGATCGCAAGCACAGGACCTACGTGTATGTACTGACTGTCACCGAGCTGCTGGAAGATTGGGAAGATTCCATTAGCATCGGGCGCAAGCGAGAGTGGTTCAAGATCGAAGATGCCATCAAGGTCCTGCAGTGCCACAAGCCCGTGCACGCCGAGTACCTGGAGAAACTGAAGCTGGGCGGCTCCCCGACCAATGGAAACTCCGTGGCCGCGTCCGCGTCGCAGAGCGATCCCTAGTATGTACCGCTGGCGCCCGGACTTCGGTGGTCGCCTGGCTTCAGAAGAGCCCTGCCGGAGGGAGCACCTCTCCTGCCATGTGCGGTCGCACGGGCAGGAGAGAGGCTTCTTTTGTTTCCCTGGCAGACCTCTGAATCACGCTTGCAAATTGTCTCAGTCGCCAGGCACTGTTTTCAGACAATTTGCACGTTTTTCAGACGCTTTCAAAATCGCTTCTTGGCGACACTGTAAAATGTTTCGGTAAGCCAAAGCTGCAAGGGGTTTCGTTTAAAGGTGCCTTAAGTGCTGGCCCTGCTCTGCTCTTGGGGGTGGGTGTGTGCGCGCGCCTTGTGATGTTTTGGTTTGGGCTTTTTTTTGTACTTCACATGTTCGTGCGTGAGTGTGCGTGCGCATTTTGGATAGCAGGCGTGTGGTTTGTTTCGGAGTGGAGGCCTTTAAGTGCGCCCTGCTTGATCGTGTGGGCATCTTCTATTATTTTTCCCCCGAAGTTTCCTTTTCCTTCACAGCCTTCCTTCATCCTTGCCAGCAAGCTCTTCTGTGGTGGGAGTTGGTTGGGATCGTTTTAAATTAGAAAAATGGGAAAATTTAAAGCTTGTGCTCTTCCTGCAGTCAAACAGAAAATTTCGGCTTCAGAAATGGGATCTGATGTGCCTCTTTCAGAAATGCCTGTGTCTATTCATAAGTAGATCGTTTGATTTTTTTTTTTAAATTCCCACCTTAGGTGGTTTTTCACTGCTGACTAGAAATTTTCATTTCCCATTGAGTTTATGAGGTATTGCCCTATAAAGTAGATATTTCTGGGGAATTGCTAGCAAAACGCATGTGATGGCCACCTCTTATAATGAAAACTGTATTCATAGAGTATGATTTAGCCTGCTGGACTTCCAATGCCCAGTGCCTATTTCTGGACACTCTGGAAGAACCGTCATTCTCTCAGTATGCATTCGTTTTTGAAAGTAAGTCATGGCCCATGTTTGAATTTAGTGATAACCTGGTTAAACTTCCCTGACTGGCAGTAACCACAGGAATGGAATCTTTTATGGTGATTGCATCCCAAGTGAGTGAGTTAAGTCTATTTGCTATTCACTGTTACAGATTTTGCAACCTGTTAGGACACCTGAACATTTTCTCTTCTTGGCAGAGGATAAGTGTTTTGTTTAACAGGCAAACTTTTTGGGGTGCTGAAAAAGAAGCTATTAGTTTTTTTCCTTGGTACTTGTTTGAAATCAGGAATCCCATCTATAATACATTAGTCTCTCTTCTGGAACTTCCTGTGTTTCCCTAGCCTTGTCTGAAATTAGGTAGAAGGAAAGCCTACTTTGTGAAGAGAGTATTGAGTGTGAAAAGAACATTCCATATCTAACACTTAAGCAATTTAACAACATTCTATGAATGAATGATGACTACAAATGGAAAGTAATGATTATGTAAAACAATTTGGTACAGCTCAAAATAACTTTTTTTTTCCTGCTATGCTGGGGATTGAACCCAGAGCCTCAGAAATGCTAGGCAAGCACTCTTCCACTGAACCACATCCTGCCTGAAGTAACCTTTTTTTAAACATAATTACTGCTAAAAATTTAATAGAGGTACCCTTATAAATTTAGTGAATTTTTTGATGTACATCATACATAAGAACAATTCACAAGTCTTAACTATACAGCTTAATGAATTGTTACTTAGTGAACACATGCAGAAACTACCATTCAGATCAAGAAATTAACATTGCCCATGACCCAAAGACTATTGCATTTCTCTTAATCATTACTCTGCTCTCCCATCTTAATATCAAAGAATAGATCAGGTTTTGAACCATATGTGTACTCCTTTCTGCTGCCTCTTGTGTACTTTCTGCATTTTACCCTTCCAAGCATTCAATATTTTTCTCCATTTGGTTTGCATTGTAATTTTACAAATTAATATTCTTATATGCTGATAGAAAGTGGGTGTCATTGCATTTATAAAGAAATGTGTTTCCCCTTTTTCTAAAAATTTTATTTCACATTTAAATAAAGTACATTATTCAATTCAGAAAACATTTTCTGCAGTAATGCTACCAAAGGAAAGGGTAACTTAAAAAATGGTGACTTTTAAAAAACAACAGTTTTATTAACTGAATTATATAGTCCAATAAAATATCAATATTTTTTCTGCTTTTTTCTAACAAAGTGATATATATTGAATATATATTTGAATCATATTTTTTTACAAGTCATAGGAAAAAAGACAAATCTATGGACACTGCAGATTATTGGTTGTCTGGGACTGAAGGTAGGAGCTGAGTGCAGAGAATAAAGGGAATAATTCCAAACAAATTGACTTTTATTATTCAAACAATCTCAAGACAGATCCTGTGCACCCCCTCCCCATGACCTAGTTACTCAAGATTAAGTTCTATATTACCATCCACAGTATACTTACTAGATTCTACTTATAGATTTTTGGGTAAATAGAACCCCTTCCACCTGTAACACTGACACAGGAACTTGGAGGTTTAACATATAGTTGCTATTATTAGAGGAAACAATGCATCATATTATATAGTTTCTTCTTTACAGGTCTGATAAAGGCAAGAATGTACAGCATTGATAACCTGTTCTTAAGAATTGTTAGCCTATAAATATGTTGTGCCCCTCCTTTCTTCCTTCCTTCCTTTGTATGTACTTACTTTATTTAACCAGAAATGTCTAGAATAATATTTTTAAGGATTGATTGCCAGCATCACTTAAGTGTTTTTAAATAAGATATTCTGTGGAACACAGTCTTGTCTGAATAATTAAAAGCTCAAATAAGTGGCATTTGTTTTAAAGACTTAAATCAGTAGATTTAGGCTACAACAGGTGACCAGAGTTAATACATAGACATTTCTACCAATTCAGTGCTCCAAAAGATGATGTACTGTTCGAATTTTTTTTCCTTCTAAGAGTGTTACAAGTCACTTAAAATTATTTTTATGATTTCACTAAACATAGGCAGCTAGATTTTTATAGCCTTCCCCCTGCCCTCATTAAGAAAGAAAAAGAATAGTCTCTGCAGATAATTGCAGTTTGCAGCTATAGATCAGAAACTTATTTTCTACATGGTTAGATAGCTTACATTATCCATTTTCAGCTGGTCAACACCCTCCAACTGAGGTGCAAGGGATTGAACTCAGGGCCTCATGCATGCTAAACATGCACTGTATCATTGAGCTACATTCCCAGCCCCCTAGTCAAGTGCTTTTATTTTTATAAATATATAAAGAGAAAACTGTAATATAGATATGTAGATTTCCTAGAAACATAATACTGTATAAATTTTTTTCAAGAAATTTTGTGTATGACTGTAGATACAAAATCTGTTGGGCTATGGTTGTAGCTCAGTAGTAGAGTGCTTACTTAGCATGTGTTAGTCACTGGGTTCAAACCTCAGCACCACATAAAAATAAATTTTAAAAAAGGTTAAAAAAAACTAAAAAAAAAATCTGTTGACCACACTTTTAAGAAGCAAACTAAAGGGAGAAAATTGTTATGAAACAATTCAGTTGCTCTTTTACTTTGCATAGATTCGAGATAATGGATACAAAGATTTTAATTAATTTGCATGATTTTCATTGAAAAGATTCATATACAAATGCCAATTTGTTCATAAAATATAATAAATAGCTACATATTTTTGTTAACCTGACCAGAGCTTTCGCCTCTAGGTTTCCCTTATTGTGGGGGAGCTGCCAGGTACTACCAAAAAAAATTTCATCAATATTTTCCTGGTAGTTGTCTCATAATAAACAACTATACTGCATTTAGAAGATTTTAGATATTTTTGGTTCAAAACCACTATGAGAAACAGAAGTCACTATGTTGACTGTACTTAAATGTGATTTTTTTATGATAGAGAGCTTGATGTGATAGAAACTACATCAGGACTTGGAAGTCAGACAGACATAGTACCAGTTCTTAGTCACTCTAACTTCAGCCAAGTTATCTAATTATCTGATGCTCAAGTTATTTTTGAAATCTGTCATTAGAGAGAATAAAAAGAGGTACTTCATGTATATCTCTGGTGAGAATTCTTTTCTGACCATGTGAAAAAAGCCCCTCCTGTGTGATGGTTCTCATAGTTTATTGGGCTTAATCTATTTGCAAAGCTAGGCATCCACAGGTCCACAAATCCTTTGGTGGTTGGGAATAGTCTGATTTGTTTCCATAAACCTAGAGTCCACAACATTGAACTTAGGATTTGTCTGTGCTTGTGGTACTGGGGAATGAACTCAGTGCCTCACACATTCTAGGTTAGTAGTCTACCTCTGAGCTATATCCAAAGCCTGAATTTAGGATTTGTAGGGTTTTTTCTTTTCTTTTATTTGTATTGGGGATTGAACTCCTGGGTGTTTTACCAGTAAGCTACATCCACATCCCTTTTTAAGACAAGATCTCTTTTAAGTCACCCAGCTTGGTCTCAAACTCATGATCTTCCTGCCTCAGTCTCCCAAGTTGCTGGGACTATAGGTGTGTGCCACTGTGCCTGGCTTTTTAAAAATATCTTACATACTCATTCCCCTTTTGCAAAATTTCTGGTATCAGGTTTCCTGAATTTTTTTGTGTCATATTGGCCTGTGAATTCCTCAGCTGTTTATCCAGACTCACATTGCATCTGCATTAGATAATTCTGTGAAAGCTTTCCAAATGCCAAGTGATTGACACACATAATATGCCCTCGCTAAATTTGTCAGTTGGGAGAATTGTTAATATAAGCTTGCTAATTGTATGTTGGTTTCTTTTTCCAGATGAACAGTAAAGATGTTCAGGATTGCTCTGAAAGAATCATTGATGTGATCCTAGTGCTCACTGAAATTGTCAAGTGCAGGTGAGCACTTGAAATGTTCCCAAGGAGACAGCTCATCTGGTTTTTCTCCTGCGTCTTGGGACAGACACTCCTTCTGTCTATTCTACTGACTCTTCTTGCTCTGGTTGTTGTACTATTGTACGTGAAGAGACTCTTAATTCAGCACCTATAGCCTT